GAGTGGGTGGGGGGAAGCAGGCTCCCTGCTGAGCAGAGAACCTGATGTGGGGCTCGATCTCAGGGATCTGAGATCATGACCTGAGCTGAAGGCAGAAGCTTAACCCACTGAGCCACCCAGGTACCCCAAATAAAATCTTTTTTTAAAAAATGTATAGTATAATGAAATACATGCAAGGACAAACAAGGATACTACTTAGAGATAGAAAGGATAGAAAGTCATATATATATGGTGACTTTCTCAGCAGACTTTTTTATACATCACCTTTAAATTGGCCATTCACTGGTGATATCCAGTATAGTCCGATTCCAGCCTCACATGTTCTGTGTCCAAAAAGTGTAGGAGGCTAATTAGAAATACACAGGTTGACTTCTATGTCTAATAGAGCAAGCATGTGTTTTGGGCCTAGGTAAATTTCATCTTTGTATCCCCTCTTTATTCACACCCCGCTTTGGTCTTCATCACTACACCATCATCAGAGAGGGATGATATGGCAGAGAGAGAAAGAGAGACACAGAAAGAGGTTATATGAACGTTGTGTAATCCAGGATTTCGGGTGTGGGGTCTTCTGCCCATGCACTCTTCCCTAAGTGTGTTTAACCTGGTGTCTGGTCTCTTTTCTTTTGCTTCTCATTGTGAGGTTTAGATTGATTTAATACATCATGTTGTTTATCTTAATTTGGTCTGTAAGTGTTATCACTTTGATTCTTCCAAGATGCTAACTGGAGGCCAGCATTTCATCACGATCATTTCTCATACAACAATACCTATAATAACAAAACTAATGGTATTTTAACAGATGATTATGAGCCTTCTATTGGCATAGTTGATATTTGTCAGAGTGTTTCTGAAAATTGATTTTGATGGATGTTTTAAAGGCAGTTTAGTTAAAAATGCAATAAAAAGTGACCACAGAATTAAGTTATGTAAATTATCGAATTATTTCATGATACTTGCAAAGAACTATTATGTACATTTATACACATAATATATATACATATATATTATGAATGTATATATGCATTTGTATATATGTGTTTATATATGTATACATACCCACATATCTACATGTAGCTCTGTGAATTCTCAGATTTTGATTCTAGCAAGAATTTAAAACTGTGAAAAGAGTGAAATTATTTCTTACCAAAATAGATTCAATAAACTTTTATTCAGGGCCTATTTGCCAGCCACAGAATCAAAATCAAAAGTGATGTCAGTTTAATTAATTAATTAATTAATTAATTTTTTGGTCAGATATGTTAACATGCACCTATCATTGCTATGGGCTTTGGTTCACATCTTTTTGTTAAGGTAGTTACATGTTGTAAAAAATGCATAAATTTAAGTTATAGAGCTAATTCAAGAAAAATGTGTATTTTCCATATGAATTTTCCACCTATCCATGATGAAAAGTAAAATCCCTTTCTTACAGTTACTCATTGAAATAAATGCCATCACAAGTCATATTGTGTACATTTATGATACATTTTTACTATAAATCTAAGTAAGGTAAGTAAAGTTCTTTGCAGTAGATTTTGATTAGTTAGTTCATCCTTCAAATTTCACTCAGTACAGTATTTTCAGCACATGAAATGATCTCTTGTTTCTACTTAACCACCCCTCCCCGCAATTGCTAACTACACAAACATTAAAGATTCTATAGACCCTTAAATACGTTAAGAATTCAGTATGTTATGATTTAACTGTTTATAATTCCTTGAGCTAAAGCTGTATTTCAGGCATATTTTAATCAAAACGGAAACTCGAGGGGTCTTAGGCCAAGTTTTTTAAAGAGCAGAAAGTCAACTTAGTTCTTGGCCTGTGGTTTGTTCTTAGGATCATAGTTAAGGTCACAGTCATGGACTTTGAACACTAAATCAGATGAGCCAACTTTTAACTTCTTCCCTGTTGTCTCAAAAGCTATTAGGAAACATTTATTAGTAATCTCTTTTAAAGACAACTGCCCAATTGGCAACCATTATCTTTGGAATGAAAAATCAGATATTAAAAATTTATTGAACTATGATTTTATTATTAATTTTGCAGATTCAAAGAGTGGTTATTATAGTCCCTTCTGTGAGGTTTGGTTAATTTTTACATCTTTCTACATTATAATTTTATGAGTTATCTTACAGTGGTTTCAAACTATTTCATCAATCTTCATCTTTGTTTTTAATTTATACAGTGGAATTTACTTGTTCATTGGTGTGAGTAATTTTCAATATCTTGCCAAACACCCTGTGGCAACTGAAAATACAAGTTGCTTATATGAGACTTCTCTGTTTGACAGCAGTGCAACAAAAACAAATTATGTGGAAATCCAGCATCATTGAATTGTAGGCACTTGTATAACTAATTCAAAAATACTTTATTTTCTGTAATTAAGAAAACAAATTTGACCTACATCTTGGGGAGGCAAATAGGGCAAAGCATATCTTATGGCTAGAATAATTTTCATTTTCACTATATTGTTAATTTTTTTAAAATCTCCCCAACTTAACCAAATGCCTTATATCCCATTCAGCCCATCTTGTTGCAGAACTCACATATATTAGAAGCTGGATCAATATTTATAGACCAATTTTATTATTCTTATGTGTTCAGAATATACTTTAAAACTCAGGTTTATGAAGAAAATTCCCATCGGTTTCCCAGAGTGTTGTGAGGACCTCTCCAGCAGCTCATGGTGATCAAATGTTCAAAGCGTGATGTCAGATACTGATGCTATTCAGCTCCATGGGCAGCTGGAGCCCCTGGGCTAAGAGCAGAGAGCAGCTTTCTCTAGTGCTCTTGGGCAGTCCAAGCACAACAGGGTCTGAGAGGTGATGATGCATCCTCTGGCAACAATGATATCAGGCTCTGCTGGTTGAGGCTAGGTGTAGCCAATAAGGTGTCTTACTGTCTGGACATCTATTTCGGCTACCAGCTTCACAGCACACAGCATCCATAAGGATACTGAAGGAGGTATGGGAGGAGTTCACTTTGCAGGAGTCCAAGATGCTCTTCCACAGTTCAGGTTGATAGAAATAAATTCCCTTCTCCATCCCTAATCTGTAAATTCATCTGCACGCATACCGTCCTCCTCCTGTGGCTACTATCTTTGCAACAGAATCCAATATGGCTGCACGCCTGCTCTCACAATGAATGCCCATTCTGCAAATCAGAGCTTCAGCATATCTCTGTGAAAAAGTCAGATTAGATTTGAGATCATTGGCATTATTACAAGAAAATTCAACATAACATTGTCTTGGACAGAAAAGGACTGTTTAATTTCTTTAAATATAATTTCCAACTATGGTAAATTTTTGAATTGTTGAAAAAATGGTTTTTAGATTTTTATATATCATCTTTTTTGTTGATGTGACTGTCTAGAGATCAACTTTTTCATAAAGATATGAAAGTATTTTACGTGGAATTTTATGCATAATTGATACTTAAATGACTTCTAATATTTTTATTTTTTTTTAATCGGTAATTGTAAAGAAAAGGTAGTTAAATGTTTACTAAACTCCAAGGAACCGTATCCGTTTTTCTGTGACATAACTGGAAAATTTGGGGACGACCTTCCATTAGGGAATTTCGCTGATTCACATGTGTTCAAGGTTCTTCAGAGTGTTTCCAAAACTGGGCATGAGGACTTTTCTGCTGACTGTGTGTGGCATGAGGATCACTGAGCTTTAAAGAACTTAGTTCCTTCTTTCAATTGTGAAATACCCTAATAACATTTTCACAGCGTCCCATTTAATGGGTTCATGCACCGTGTTTACAGTTCAGTGTGCCCTACAGTGGAAAAGTGATCCACAGGCAGGCTCATGTCTGCCAGTTCACCTCCGTGCTCACAACTGCCTTGGACAAAGTAGTCATCCACCTGTCTTATCCCGTCCTCTCCCGCAACACTTCACCTAAGCCTGCCTTCTTCCAGCCTGCGCTGCGGGGTGAGAGGCTGGTCTGGAGTAGCCGCCCAGCCCAGCTCGATCCTACTACACATTTTTCCCTTGCCTCTGGGCCAGCTGGGTGCTCAACCACGCGCCCAGGTCTCCAGGCTTCTCCAGGGAAGCCTCCCGCCCTAAGCCAGGCTGGGTAGGGGCGGGGGCCGGGGGTGGTCTCCGAGACTTCTCGCGCTTTCCCTGAAGTGCCAGGAAAGATAAAAGCACAGGCCGAAGCCGCGGTCTGGCGTTTCTGCGAGGCGGGGCCGGCGCTCCCTGACCTCCTCCTCCCTCCAAGTTCTGCGCCCCGGATTTGGCAGTGGCAGAAACCTGCGGAGCGTCCCAGCCAAGAGGGCGGGGAACTGGACACCTGGGGCAATCTTTCAGGGTCTGCTGCCACATCCCCCTCCCCCAGCCGCTGCTGGGGAAGTTTGTCTTGCCCTCTGCTCCTTGCTCTTCTCTCTTTCACTTTTCTTTTCGCTGAGGGTTGGGACTCCCTGGGTTCAGGGTGCCCAGGGGGAATCCCCGCTGACTCGCAGTCGAAGCCCGTCGCCCGGCTGAGAGAGCCTGGTGGCAGCGCCCGCCCGCTGCGCCGCTTGCCGCCCCCAGCCCTGCAGCCCGGACTCGATGGAGGTAGAGTTCTGCTTCTCGGCTCTGGGAGGGGAGGTGGTGGTGGTTGAAAAGGCGATGGAATTTTCCCCGAAAGCCTACGCCTCGGGCCTCTCCCAGCTCCGGGCCGACCCACCCGTTTCCCGCCACCAGTTGCGGGTTACGCCGCCCCGCCCTCTCACGCGGAACACTTGACCGCGACTTCGGGTTTTCCGCTGCACTGTGCAGAGCGGTTTTCCCCCTTCTGACCCTTTATTCCCCCCGTGCTCGCCATCCTCCGCTTCCAGAGGTGCGCAGCTTGCTCGTCCGCTGGCGGGTCCCGCGACGCTCCTCCGTGCGCTCCCGTCTTTCGGTGTTGCAGGCAGCGGAGGCGCGGGAGGCAGCGTCCGGCACCGGGCTCTCCCCTGCGCTGGGCTCTCCCCTGCGCTGACTTTGCCAGCTGACCCGCGGAGAGCGAGGGACGTGCGTCTGGCAGCCCCCGCGGAGAAGACGCGGTCTGGCAGCACCGAGCGCTGAGTTCTGCACCTAACCGAGTTCAGAGAGTTCAAGAAAGGTACTGCAGCTCCTCGCTTCTTCCCTGTGCCCTCCCAAACTCCCTCTCGGTCGGAGCAAAAGGTGTGTAGGACTCTGCACGTCTGTCGCTACCTTTGTTTGCAAAATCGAGTTACCCTTCCCTTTTTGGATGAGGACCCTTGTCCTCCTAGGGAAAGGAACTTGCAGAAATGGTTATTGCTGGGCAGTCAGGCCTAGGTTTGGATTCTTAGTTCCAACCCTGTACAAGCCACTCATCTCTTAGAAAAGCAGTATTAGAAACTTGGAAGAGATGTAGGAGAACTTAGTTGCAGTAAAATCCTTATCCAAGGTGGATTTAAATGAAAATCTAGTTAATTTTTTCCCAGTGCTATTGAGATTGCATTTTGCGGACATATACAATTCATTTTAATTTATGTAATGCTGTGCGTTTAAGATTTTGAGAGCTTCAATTTAGCCATAATGCAAGATTATTCCTAAACGATGTGTACGAACAGATTCTTAAACAGGATGAGTTAGAAGTTTCAAAATTGGAAGCAAAGTTGTTGTCGCTAGCTATTTTTCCATTGTGTTTTTTAAAGCTACTTTCTAAAGTTATTAACAGGGGTGATGACATCTACTTGTAACTGATAGGCATCCTTATCTTGTCAGTGTGCCTAAGGAGGTTTTGCTGACTTGACTGAATGAACAGATTAGCTCTGGATGGTTGCGGTGTCCCAGGGGGGATGGCTGTGAGGTGGGCTGTTCTACTGAAAGCATCAAGGTGCAATGATTGATTCAATTTAACAACTCCTGTTGTTTTGTTGAAAAGTGGTGTGGTGGAGGAAGGAGGTACAAAAAGAACATAAAGATATGTAAAGGAAGGGACTAAAGAGAAAAAGTAAGAGCCTTCTTAGCTTTAAAAAGTGACAAAGAATTTAAAATTTTATGGAATCAAGTCTCAGAAAGTTCTAAAGGTTTGTTACGATTGTGTTTTAAGGTCACATTCATTTCTCAATGAGTTTTCTCCTCAGAGTTTTAGTCATACTCAGAATGGCCTTTCCTGCAGGGTCATTGGCTCTGTGACAGAGTGACACAGAGGAGTTAAGTTGGTCACTGGTCCTGAAGCTCAGTAGGCAGTGTTCCCATACTTTGCTTTTTAATTTATTATTAATCTATTTATTTATTTTTATTAAGTAAGCGCTATACCATGTGGGGCTCAAAGTCACTTCCCCAAGATCAAGAGTCACATGCTCTACTGACTGAAACAGCCAGACGTCCCTTTCCATACTTTGGATTCACTATTCTCTGACAGTTTGGCATGGGAACTCCAGAACCTGGTTTGGAGTTGTAGTCCTGAAATTTGGAATTTTACTGCAGATTTTGGTGGACTTAAGGGAAATGATTTGATGCTTTCTGTTTTCACCGGTGAGATTCATATATAAATGTCAGCAGCTCTCTTGCAAGACATACTAGTTGTTAATGAAATACATATTTATCAACATCTTTGAAGGAGAGAGAAAATCAGTGATTTAAAGTTTATTGAAATAGAGTTTGATAATTAAAGGATTTTAAACCCCAGGAAGTTCTCCATCTCAGGTTTGCTGGCTCTGAGTAGATTTCAGGAAGGCTATGATTGAAGCCCTGAAATGTTAGTGTAAGTGGATTTTTCTTAGGAAAATATCTACAACTCTAATTAGGTTTGTAAGTGGGCCTCGAACCCCAGCTAGTTTTTAAAACATTTTAAAACTTAGAAAACTGTCCTTTTCTTCATTTATCTCTTAGAGCTTCCTGTTAAGTTTGTTCATTAGGTAGCTATACTTTTTTTTTTTAATTTTTATTTATCTGTTTCATTTATTTGACAGAGAGAGAAAGATCACAAGTAGGCAGAGAGGCAGGCAGAGAGAGAGGGGGAAACAGGCTCCTCGCTGAGCAGAGAGCCGGATGCGGGGCTTGATCCTAGGACCCTGAGATCATGACCTGAGCCGAAGGCAGAGGCTTAACCCACTGAGCCACCCAGGCGCCCCAGGTAGCTATTCTTTTGAAGGTTAGTTAATGATAATACGGAGAGTTCCGTGTTTCTGCCAGCAACTTGAATTATGGGAAATATATTATTTCCCATATGGGAAATATAATTCATATTAATTATAGCTAATACTTGTTGAGGTCTTATTATGTACTGGGCATTGTTCCAAGTATGTATTTTTAAAAATCATCATAATAAAGTTATGTGGTGGTAGGAACTATATTATAATGCTGAGAAAACTGGAGCACAGGGTAACTGAGTAACATTCCCAAAGTTACAGAGCTAGTTAAGTGGTAGAACTGAGGATTTAACCCGCACAGATTTAAGATCACAGGTGTTTATGAAGAATGATATTTCCATATAAGTATTTCCCACAATTTGGCAATGACAGCTAACCACGACTTCATTTTGATGCCATGTTATAAAGATAGAATGTTGGTTTTCAAGTAATACTGCTTATATGGTACTTGCATGATTAACATCAATCATTAATTATATATTTATATATATATATTTTTATTTATATATATTTATATATATTTATGATCAACTGATATTCATGCGAGTGTCTATATGTGTTTGGTTCTTTGGAGAGGTTTCTGTCATGGTTCCTGAATGAGAACATTAATTTGCATCAGCTTTTGCTGATAGAACCTGACGTAAGTACATGGGGATTGATCCGGGTGCTGAATTTATCCATCTATCTATCCATTCATCCATCCAAGTCGAAAGCTGGTGTTCCTGGAGAGATCAGAACAGAAGCCTTTTCCATTATATCACAACCGAGGTGGTGTTGTCAAGTATTTGAGAAGCTTTTTCAGAGGCTTTATGGTATGAGGGTTGGCAAGAAGCCACCTACTTTCCTTAGTTCAATATTAGCTCCTTGGTTTACTTCCACAGTGGTTGTAGATTGCTACATCAGGCTTTTGAGATTGAACAGTGCTTAAGTGCTTGCTGCTATCCCATTGGAATGGACTGAGTGGAAAAATTCCATAGGGGAGTTGAAGGAACCTCTGTGGTTTTAGCTAGTACTGCAGATCCTCACTACTAGCTATATAGTGGTGAATTTGACTAATTATTATTAATTATATATTTATTATTTTGCTTTATCTTTTTTTTTCCCCCCAAGTTCCTCAGTACTGGAATCAGATGTAAGAAATAAGAAGCTCTTTGGTCTCATTTCAGTTCAGAAGTGTTATTCGTGCTCATTTTATATCTGGAGGCAGGGCATATGTATACATATATTTTTCAGTGTTTTATCCCACTGCGACTCTAGTAGTGTCTTGGGGTCATTTTTGGAAGGACTTAAGTACACATATATATGTATATGTATGTGCATATGCATACACATGTGTGTGTATGTGTATACAAAATAGGTATTTTTATATAGACTGCATAAAAATGGATTAAAAAAAGTCTGAATGCCTATTCGCTCATCATGTTCTAGTAATGCATAGTTGCTTCTTCTCCTGATGCTAAGGTTTTTCCAAGTGCTAACAGACTGCAGAAGGGATCCGGAGAGTGACAAAATATTTTGTTAAATAAAGGAATTGAAACTGAAAATGATCCTACAAGAAGAAAATATAATGGTTGTAAGGTTGGTTGTTGTGGGGGGAGTTCTACTTATCACAATGACACAGGGAAGAAGCCCTGTGACACATTCAATAATCCCTTGTATCATTTCATTCTCACTGGGCATTTTGCTCGTATGCTTTCTAATAGAAATTTGAGAAATGGAATACCCCTTGTGCACTCTTAGCTCTGGCCTCTAAAATTTTCAATTATTCTTCAATTGAACATTTTATAGTTCAAAATTTTACAATATATTTTTCCAACTTCTGTGCTCCTCTTGCTCCTCAGCAACAAAAAGTATATACATTTAAATTTAATTTTTAAAATAGTTTTGTTAAAAATTATTCCTTATGCTATTTTAAATATTAGTACACAGGTAACCAAAGTAATTCATTAACTTTTGGTAAGTAATTATGAGGCATAGAAGTAAACTATAGTGGAAATTTGTATCCTAAATGTAGATATGGGTAATGTGGATATCAGTGCTTTCCTGAAAGAACGTTTCTCTAATATCAGTTTTTCAAATTGCCCCTTTATTAGGCACCTTGGGGAGGAAAGGCATATAGTAAGATTGTGAATGGGAGAGAGATGTGCCTTTCTTTGGTAAAATGGGTGAAGGGTAATTATAAAAGGGGAAGTGGGAAAGGAGAACTTGCCAGAAAATGCTCACTGTTGGCACATTTCAAGCATATCACTTGTGAAGAAGGGTTCCTATGGAAATAGAGGATCTGGAAATTGGTTTTTTTAGAACTCTTCTATATCCATACAGAGCTCAGGAAGCAGTGGGGTTCCCTGGGGATGGCTGGTGTTTACTTTGAAGATCTCTGATCTGGTTCAGCCTATTGCCTGCCCCCTAAGGTTGGTTTGTGTATTGCCATGGCTCATTGTGCTTAAAGCAATGAGCCTGTGCGTGTGTGTGTGTGTGTGTGTGTGTGTGTGTGTGTGTGTGTGTGTAGGGGAGGGAGGGGTAAAGAACTGGCTTTCCACTGAAAGCAGGGGAGGGGATTGGGGGGGGAAATGTAGGGGGGAGTTGTGGGGGTGGAGAATAGCTTCTAGCCAGGCCTGGGGACTTGGATAGCCTTCCCAGCCTGGGCTCCCCTTCCATGCTAGCCCCAGTCACACTGCTCTGTGCTCTAGACACTAGACACACTTGCTGTCCCTGCTCACTCCTTGTCATCCTTCCTGCGTACTGCTGAAGCATCCAACCTCCAGAACTTTTGCTGCCCCCTTCTACTGCCCAGTTAAAATTATTTTCTCCCTTATATGAATTTATTTGGTGCTATGCTAGTTTTTGTCTCTGTAAATTCATCTTATTATGTGTGTGTCTCCTGTCACATTTTGAATAAAGACTGTGAGCCCAACCAAGGGTTGGTCACATGGTTGATTTGTATTGACTTCGATGAGAGGACATTCAATATTTCGACAACTATGCGGACTTCCAGGAA